AATTCATATGAATTAAAGCTTAAAGAAAGATATGAGTCAATAATGAAGTTGTGGATGCCCGTTGCCTTAAAATGAGAGAAGAAGCAAAACAAGCTGGGGAGCAGGCCCTTAAACAAGGAGTCTCTCTTCGCCTTGTAAATGAGGGAGGGGCGTGTTCAGACGAGTTGCTCGAGCCCGCTTGCTCCACAGCTTCACCAAAACGCGCTGCGCTATTGTCGCGCACTTTCGAGCCGCGACAAGCACAACTGTGACACTCGCAGGGCAATTTAAATTTTACCCGTAGATTATTCGACACAACCTCATCTAACGTGGTTGTTTAAGCAACAACTTTGCCGCTCGAGTGAGAAACATTCCACCCCCAGCGAAGTAATCGGAGAGATCGTTTTCTGATTTTCGCCTTATCAGATCGATGCAGCGAAGCCTAGCTGGCAAATGATTTCGAAATATTCAAGGGGTGCAAAAACGAGTCAGTGAATTGATTACTTTCAACGAAATCGTATCATCGTGGCAAGATCGCCAATTTCACGAAAAATGGACAGTTTTGAAAAAAAGTAGTGGAAAATGCCTCAGCCTAACAACTCGTATCAATTTTTCACATTAAACCTTGAAAATGACCACGTAGAGAACTATCTACACGTGACCTAACTCAGGATAATTTGAGAGGTACCACATCTACACGACAACTTGCTAGAGCAAACCAAAAGTGTTCCTGGTCTGCGTTACTCGGAATAATGTCTATGATCATAGTATAGTTTCATCATCATCTCAACCATCTTCTGGGAATTCCGGCTGCACTGTGATGGCGTCAAGAAATCTGTGGGTCTTCGCGTATTGGACATTCAGGGGTGTCCCCCAAGAGGCCCATCGCGCGGCGAAGGAAGAGACGCAGACGCGGCAAAGGACGAGTCGCAGCGCATACTGTAGCGGTTAGGCGTCAGGTTAAATAGAGTGTACCATACTACGTCTCATGCACAGCACGCGCTGCGACTCGTCCTTTGCCGCATCTGCGTCTCTTCCTTCGCCGCGCGGTGGGCCTCTTGGGGACACCCGACATTCAGACTAACATTCTGCTTGCTCATCGACTAAGTTCTCAAAGTGGTGTACATTATTCCCGAGCCGGATTCGTAGCCAGGAAATCTCGTCCAGCATAGAACAAAGGCAATTCATCAGGGTGTGTTCAGCGTTTAACTTGGCCGTGTCAAGCTGTGTAGAAATAATTGAGGATGGGTATCAAAGGTATTTTGGAGTCTTACTAGACGTTTTCTCTGCTTCAAACAGAATTGCCTGCGAGTGAACATACACACGTGGCGACGACCTCCACAAATAAATATATATAGCATACATTATACGAAGTTATACGAATCATTTACTAACTATCAGTTATCACTATGAACAACTAGTGACCAGATTTACTTGGAAGCCGTCGTCACTTGTGGTGTGTGGTCTGCACTCGGCGCGCATCTGGTTTTCGGAAGCAGACAATATTTTCTTCAAGCAGTCAGAAAACAAATATCTTTTCAAGAACATTTTTCATTTGAATTTTTATTTAATTTTTTTTTTAGTTTTCTATACAGTGGTTTAGATCATTCACTTTACGCCAACTAAAGCACTGTCAAAGTTGTGATACCGAGTGAGTAACAGCAGCACCGCTGTGTCGGCTGCTGACCCCTTTGCTTACGACTCTCGAGGATTTCCTCGACCGTTTTCACGCTGCCCTACATCCGTAGATTTCGAGTGGTGATTACAAAACATGTATGGTGCGTATTCCAGCACCGACCAATGCATAGAGGTTATCTAGAAGCATGACAGCAGAACTTGGTTCTAAGTGACCCGTAATTTAATTAAAGAAGTGGGAAAAGGGAGCAGGACTGAACTGCAGTACTTTTTTTTTTTTTTTTTTTTGTTTTTTTTTTTTGTTTTTTTTTTTTTTTTTTCTTTTTTTTTTGTTCTCGACTAAAACTGAGATCCGGACCTCAAAGAATTTTGCTTCGATCTAGTTCCAATAAACTACCCTGCTGGCAAAATTGCTGATTACTGCTTCAACTTATAATACTGTTTCTTTCCATCTTATTAGAAAAAACAAGAAAATGAAGAATTAGCAGGACTGAAGATCTCGTGTGCTTCGTTGGACCTCTCGTCCCCCTGACCATTGCTAAGCCAAATCGAATCTAATCATATGGTGAGTCATTTCTCATCTAAGTATGTTGAGGCGTGCTTTGGAGAGAGTACAAAAAGCCCAGTGCAAAAAAATGCGTCCTATACATGGACGCGCACCACAGCGCTCGCGCTTCACCCATGCGCCATGCAAATGGCGCGGCATTTGTGGCCCGCGCAGCTATCTGACGTTACCAATTTTTCTATGGTCAACTGAAAACCATTGACTTAGCGAATTTGTTTAGGTTCAGTCGCTGGGAGTTCTGAGCCATGGACCATGACATTCCGCTGAGCTCCTTGGCCATAAGCGCCCATGTCCACAATCCGAATAAAAAATGGATTCTGAATAGCTCAATCTTAAGACTGACATCCTGGCGCAGCGCCTTGGGCTGCCAGACCAATAATACAGAGATGTCGGTTACGTACAGTCGATATCCGAAAGTTGGGGTGGGTGTGTCACCGGAAGTGACGTGCACTTGATAGAAGTGCGTGGATAAGCTGTTGCCAGCATGCTTTGCTGATAGCCAGCGATGTATGTTGGAAGCAGCTTATCCACATAGTTTCTATCAAGTGCACGTCACTTCCGGTGACACGCCTACCCCAACTCACCGATATCGAGTATAAAGGCGACCAACAAGGTGATTTTCGTATTTTTGGTAATCATGGACCATTCAGAAACCACGACTTCATTCTGGATTCCATACAGAAACCGCTGCACTATGCAAACCTGTTGAGAAAATGACTAGGCTCTGGTCACCTTGCTTGTTAGATATCAGAAGCTTACAAGGGAAGGATGGTAGGTCGAAGTGGCCGTTTGAAATGAGATGTATACCACCTGATGCGTCTCCAGACGCTGATTCCAAATCTGCCTTCCAAATCTGCTAAACGACTCTCCGAACGGAGTTATGAAGCGTAATAGCTCAGTGGTGATGATCCGGGCTCTCTGGTAAGAGCTCGTAGGATCGGTTCCTTTGCGAAGTTTGTTGTGTTATGCAACACCTTCTAGGCGTCAAGGCCAAAGCAGCAACTTGACTAGATAGCGGGAGTACCGATCTTACGACCTTTCACCTGCCAGCCCGGACCATCGCCACTGAGCTATTTCGCTTCATAACTCCGTTCTGAGAATCGTTTAGCAGATTTGGAAGGCAGGTTTGGAATCAGCGTCTGGAGACGCATCAGGTGGTACATATCATTTTGAACGGCCACTCATCTACATCCTTCCCTTGTGAGCAGGAGGAAACGAAAAGTATGATTCTTTAGAGACAGCTATCACGATGACTGGAGGGGAGCTGTTTTGACTACTTTATTGAACGTCATTGGTAAAAGGGCCTTAAGAGGCCGTCCATACCACAACCCTAAACGCGCTGAGGGATCGAGTCCACCAACAACGTCCAACGTCGTTATCAAACACCACGCCCTCCAGTCATCGTAATCGGCCTTCAGGAACAACAGGGAAAGTGAGGACAACGCTCATGTACAGTGTTTTATCTAAGAGGCCGAGCTTTTTTGTTCCGTCTTGTTTGCTCCTATCACTAAGCACTTGACTGCTGAACTCGTAAGATGATATTTTGTTCGAATATTATTCACTTGTATAAGGGATCAGATGGGAAGCTCTAGTTTGCTTTTACCAGGGTTCAACTTAATGCTTTTATGTTTGTAATTATTCCCTCAGGTATGAAGGATTATCATATTTCCTTAGTAGGTATCTTGTGGGGTAGTACCGTTTATTTTCCAGGGTTCATGCTTTGTTGGTCCTACTCAATTCTTCGTCTAACACCGCACATGCCAAAAAGGCAAATAGATTAATTACAACAACAAATTCAACCAGAATGCCATAAGAAGTAAGGAAAACTTCAAGTCAAACAGAAGAAGTTACATAAAACAGATTAAGCCACAACTCCATAAGCCATAAGCAAAATGTTAAATAAAATGGGAGCAATGATGAAAACAAATTCTCAAAAATAAAGAGCAGGTATTGATCACAATCAAAGCGCAGGAAGGAGCCTACAAATAGCTTATGTAGAAATTATTAGGAGGAATCACACCGAACCGCGAAAGTCAACCAGCACACCTTCAATCAGCTGCAAACATGTTAGAGTATTCTACACAAACGGATAGAATGCCTATTAAAGAAATTAAATAAAACGCCACATATTTGCAAAAAAGTGCTAGCCTGAAAACCAGTTACCGTGAAAGTTGACCATTATCATTGCAAAGCTATCTGAGTAGTGCATGGCAAGTCATGAACAAAAATCCGGATGTTAATATGCCACAAAATTGTTCATTTGCCATATACCTTTTTGAGAACTTCTAGGAGCTTCGAAACTTTGTCAGCACCAGCACGAACCCTCTTCAGTAACAATTTGACGCTGTTTGATTGGATCCATGTTCACGATTGTTGCTAAATAGATAGAGTTCTTTTATGCATGAATGCGTGAACAATGTCTTCCCTTTGGCAACATCCATCCAGCCGAGGAACACTCAACAGGAATTACGTAATCACACATAAAACTGTGATCTCAAATAAGGGTCGACGGACTACTTGAACCCAGCCCTATAAACCGCCTCTGCGTTCTCTCGTGGGTCCCGATTAGTGCTAGCATTTAGTCTTTAAGCGGTCTTTTGATCTTTACAAAACGTGGGGTGGGAAACTAAAGCGTCAGTGTAGAAAGTGAGTTTCAGCGTTGTGCAGATTTTGTGATACACGTTTATAGTGCTCACGTACTTCTTCACAACCTCTCTCATTGAATCGTGGAGCTGATTTATGCTTAATCCAAGATTTGCGTTGAGCACTCCAAGGCGCGTATACTGATCTACACACCATTGAAAAAAGGCAAAGATGGAATGTCCCTAGTAAGTGCACATAGTGAAAAATAAAA